ACACCCTTTCCTCATGCGTTTCTATAGAACGTGAGGTTTCGTGGCGGGTGCGGTCAGCAGACAAACGCGACACCCTTTCCTCATGCGTTTCTAGAGTGCGCGTGATTTCGTGGCGCGTGCGGTCAGCAGACAAACGCGACACCCTTTCCTCATGCGTTTCTAGAGAGCGCGTGATTTCATGTTGCGTCCGATCAGCAGACAGACGCGACACCCTTTCCTCATGCGTTTCTATAGAACGTGAGGTTTCGTGGCGGATGCGGTCAGAAGACAAACGCTGTCCTCTTTCAGAGTTCGTCTCTTCAGATCGAGAAAACTCGTGGCGCCTACGATCAGAGCTTAAACGAAACTCACGTTCTCCCCGAGTTTCCCCAATTCGTGCTTCAGTTTTGCGAGACCGGTCAGCACTCAATCGACTTTCACGTTGAACACCACTTTCTGCAGATCTTGACGCGTCGTTACGGCGTCTATTAGCATCAATGCGCGATTCGCGGTTAGCAGCAGTCTCTTGAGATCGAGAAGTTGCATTTCTAGAACGTTGCAGTGCTAGACGCTCTTCTCGTTGCTGTTGATTTTCTGTAAATCTTCTCAATCGTACTCGTTTGGCTTGAGCAGAAGCCGACGATAGGTTGGAGCGTTTTCGGGAAGGCATTATAAATATGTAATGAGTATATATTTAACACAGTAATGCCCGAATTATTTTTTTGCTATTATTATTTACTGAAATAAATGTAGTTTTTAGTACTATACCCTGAAATATCTATACATATAATAAAATTGTAACAGGCCAATGTCTATCTGTATGTTTGTATGCGCATCACTCGAAAACTCACGCATGAAAATGAAAACAGTTTCAACTGATGTATTGCTAGAGGTGTAACTTAAAATATAAGAAGGAAAAAAATTACAATACGACACTTGCGACACCGTTGTGAATACCCCAAAAGTTATATTGCAATACGCTTTTGAGAAGAAAGCGGTTTTAGAAGGCTTAGATGTTGCAAATGGGTATACAACTGAAGAGGTTTAGAAAAGCTTACTGCCGAAAATATTTTTTAAGAAAAATTGTATTTAACTTAATTGAATAAATAAATGAAATATTACAATACGGGTATCAAATAACACAAAAATACTTTTAAGGCGCAGTGAAGTACGCCGGGTATTTGCTAGTGATGCTATAAGAAAATGTCCATTCTTGTTTATTAAAAATTAGTTTTCGCTAACTAAGGAAAGAAGAAGAAGGTGGTTTCGCTAGTATATGAACCTTCAATACGATTCAACATACTGAAAATCAGCCAAAAGCATAGGAGATTTTCTAATTTTTAGCATATTTAGGTATGAAAAAGCTAAAGCTGGAACTCCCAAGCATGCGTATTCTAATTCGCGCGTTTGACAATTGTTTTGAATACAAACATTTATGTGGCAGCAGGTACATACATAGCAACGCAAGCAAACGGAAAAATTTGCTTGTATTTCAAGCTACAACTCCAAAGCATACGTACAAATACATATAGCGGGAATTAAATATTTTGCAGTAATAAAATGGATTCCATATTTCCAGTTAGACCTCTACAAATATGTACATTGGTGAACTGCATTTAATTCCATATATTATTCCAAAATTCCAAAAATTGCTAATTTGGCTTGTATGAACTTTTCTTTAATATCTATTATGTACAGATACCGGCCTGGTACAATTTTATAATATTTACTGAATACTGAAATAAAAGCAGGATTTGGAGTTGCTCGACTATTTTCATTGCACTCGCTATTGCTTAGCTGAAGCTTAAGAAAAATAAGTCAGCGAAAGCAGACAGCAAAAGCGAAAAGAGACATGAAATCATTTGCTTTTTGTGTATAGCAACAATTGTCAAAAATTTTTATATATGACAACACCGAATTTGCTGCAGTTTGACCAAACAAAATTAGTTTGCTGTGAGAGTCGCCAAACTCGCTCTCTCCGAGTTTACTGCAACTGCGTGCGATAGTTTGCCAAACAAAATTTCTGCATAACACCGACCTAAGTTTGGTGTATTCTCATTAATAGTTGCGTTCCCTAACTCGCAAGAAGTTGCATGAATTTACAGGAATTTACCAGAAAACGTTCCCGTACTCGGTTCTCTGGCTTCTTTTGCTTTTTGACAGTTATACAGGTTTTAACACAGAAAAATTGGGGAACGCAACTTTTGCTTTAGCTTTTTT